AGCAGGAATACAAGCACTTTAGTACAGATCCTCGGTGATCAATCATTATTTACTCATATATGAACATTCAGAATGAACATTCAAATTTCCTAATACGTATTTCAGCAGCGTTAAAAAAAAATCATTCAAGAAACAAATGCACAAGACATTGTTACCCAAACTGGCAAGGCAAGCAGCCTTAGATGCTATTCAAACAAAACAGAGGGGAAAAAACCCTTTCAAAATAGCATGTGTTTGCTTGTGCATTGCAAGTTTTTAAATTAGGAAAAAAGGAGCCAGCTGTGAAATGTACTTTTCCCCTACAAAAATACCCCATATTTTTCCTCTTTTAAGATCTAAAAAACGCAGCAGCTTACATTTACTCACCTAACAGGGAGCTGCGAACTTTTATGTGCTAGCATTGTACAGTGCTTTCATATCAAAACTCCTACGTAAGTAGCTACAGTTATTGGCTTATTTTCAATTTATTTCTGATTTCCAGTCCCAAGGATCTGAACTATTTGTCATCACTATTGTAAGAATTTCCTTTTTTATAAATGTACATACAGATTCCGCATCCAGCTCAGGTGAAACTTCTGCAATGACAATTAGATCTCTCTGTCTTTCAGATTTGGGCAAAACATCTGGAAGAAAAAGAGAAAAAGCAAATCAGCACTTTTTAAACAAATGTTTGGTAACATTTCTAAAAAAAATCAAGTGATTTCAACAGCATCAAATTTATCAGAATTTTATATCATTAATATAATTACACTTACTACTGAAAAGGAAAAAATAGCAATGCCTATGTTTTTTGAACAAAGAAGTCTTTCAATTTTGCAACCTAAAGTTGGATTCCAGTCTGAATTCCTGTCTTATGGATGATACAGTATTGAGATGTACTTCATAATGCGATTTTACAGCCACTACTCATGATCTTCAGGGATTCCAGAAAGACTGTAAGGAATTCTAAAACTTCTTTCATCACATATATACACTAATACACCTATAATACATACAACTCCATTTCCAAAATACATGGCACACAGCTCTCATGGCATACTTTCATCTAAATAATTTGATAATGAATACATTAGACAAGTATTCTGTGCCTAATATTGTAACGTAATTTAGAATATATATTAGAAATTCCTTTGCATAGAAAGGTATAATTAAGTTTTACATACAGAATGCTATATGGGGTTTGATTGCAATATGGTGATTCCCAGCCATGTCTACATACAAGGTAAAGAATGCTACCAGCTGTTTTATATCCAAGAAGTAAAACCTTACGCAGATTCACATGTGTAAAAAAGTTGTAAGGGCTAAAAGCAAGGCACTTCAATATTGTGAGGAACTACATAGTCTTCCTTGAAAAAAATATTCTCCTAAGTCTTTAGGGTATTTGTTTCTGAAAAGTACTTCTATTTCTTAATATTAAATGTATCAGAAAAAGAAAAAAGAATTTTTAGTTCCTAAAGTAACAAACAGTAAATGCTCAATATAACTGGGAAATTAACATATCAACTGAAAAATTAAGGAAAGCGTGCACATCTGAAAAGCTACAAGAATTTTATTACAGCTGGAGTACTAAAGATGATCTCCGAACTAGTAGGTAGCACATTATGTCTCCTTCTAATAATAGAGATAGGGGAAAGGATTTAAGGATTCTGATGAAAAGGAGGAGAATAAGTTTTCCTTTCATTTTCTTGTGTTCAGAGAAAATGCCTCCCTTTACAATAAGAAAAAAAATAGCAATACCAAAACATTTTGCCTGCAATACCATCTGCTAAAGAAGCCTAAGCCTGTTTCGTACTGTCACAATCAATTGCATACAACTGATTTTGCCAATTGTACACAACTAGTGCAATCCATTCCACCTGCATGAGTAAGAAAAGATCTATCTTTTCCAACCCTATTTGATCTTTTTTCTTCATGTCGTTTCTTTATGCAAACTGTGATGCAACTTCTGCCACGCATTCATTTTTCTACTAGAAATAGGACAGAAAACACTGCTTAAGCTTACATACAAGGCTTCAGCTTTTTGTTACTATTAAACTGTAACAAAGCACCCATATTTAATCAGTTATGTTATCCAGACTGACGCAAGTAACAATAGATTTAAGTTAATATAACAGTTAAAAAAGGTTTAAAAATACTACATCAGTTTATAATACAAATCCTTCTTTGCAAAAATATATAAAGCAACTAAAGTTCAACAGTTCAATGGACAGCACTGGACAGAAAGACAAAACATATTTATGGAAATAACCACTCGACATTTTTTATATGATGATCTAATTCTAAAAACTTTCCATTTTTGGAAGTCAAAATGAAACAAAGAAAAATTAATTCCATATAAGGGGAGATGGTTTTTAGAACAACACAAGATCTTACTGCACACATATGAATGCACAAGACAGAAAAATCAATGGTTCATTTTAAAGACCATGTTTAAAGTAATTGAATGGTGACCCATGTTCAAAAATGTTTTGTATTGAACTATCCATGATTAACAGTTATTTTAAGACTCAGCTAAAGATCAGAGAAAAAAAGCCAAAATGAGACAAATGTAAAACATCACATATTAAAAAGTTTTACATCCAATTATAGGTAAGCAAGACCTCTTTAGACCACCTACTCCAGAAAGAAAAGAGCACTGGTAAATGTGAAAACATCACTGTAACACCTTAGATCTGCTTAGAAAGGTTGTAAGGTAGAAAAAAATATAATGGGGAAAAAAGAGGGAAAAGTCAGCAATAGTCACAATAATCGTGGCAATCTCACACCAGTATATTTTACTAGAAAAGTTATAAAGGACGATCAGGTTTTCTCTCTTTCCTCCCCTCTCCTCTCCTCTCCGCCTTCTCCCTTCT